TCGCCCCCACCCCCCGCCCGACCCGCCGCCCGCCCGGGGCCGGGGTTTCCCTCCCGCCCCGCCGGAGCAGGCGGCTGCCCCGCGGGGGCCGTGGGGCAGGGATCCTGCTCAGCCCACAGCCTTTGTGAGCCCGCACCCGGGCCTTGACGTGGGAGCAGTGTTCCTGCAGCTGGGAAGCAGGAGAGCTTCACCCACCCTTCCTTTCTCCTGGGTACAGCCTCTGACCGCATCGCCTTCCCCCGCGAGAAGGGGTTTGATGTGCGCAAGCAAATCGCTCCAAATGCTGAAGCCCCACAGCTTTGTCCCTCTGGTTTCATTTCAGCCTAAAGTAGTACTGTTAACTCGGGTGGTTTTCTTCCCCCCTACTCTCCTTTAAGGCGCAGAGGCTGCTGGCGCACCGGAGACCGCAGAAGTCCTTCTTTGAGACGCTCATCAGGAGCCTGATCATCTTGTGTGTGGCGATAGCGGTGGTCTTGTCGTCCATCTCCGTCTGCGATGGCCGCTGGCTCTTCGCGAGGGGCCAGCTCTTCGGACTCTGGCACTTCTGCACTGTTAGCAACGGCAGCGTCCTGAAGTGCGTCACCGACCTCAGCCTGGCCCAGGTGGAGGGGCTGAGCGTGGGGGCGATTCCCATAAGAAGCATGGTGTCCTTCGCTGTCGTGGTCGCCATATTTGGCCTGGAGCTCCTGATGGTGTCCCAAGTCTGCGAGGACGCCAACGCAAGGCGGAAGTGGTCGATGGGCTCGGTTCTCATCCTCGTCTCGTTTTTGCTGTCGGCCACCGGGGTTCTGAGCTTCTCCATCCTCGTGAAGGATCACCTCACCTTCACGGGCTTCACACTGACGTACTGGTGCGAGTTCGTCGCCGCCTTTCTCTTCTTCCTTAATGGGATCAGTGGACTTCACATCAACAGCCTCACACACCCCAGGAACAGGGTAGGCAAAATCTAGGCGCAAAGGGTGTACCTCCGCCTTTGTGTAATCAGCTTTGCCAATTAGAGTGGAAAAAAGGGAGTCTCATGAAGTTTGAAAAGGACACCGTGTCTTAAATTGTGTGCAAGGAGGGGAAGCATGAGTCAATCTTCGTGCCTGTAGAAGACATACCCACCCACTGGTCAGTGCGGAGGGCCGCGCAACATGGGCAAAGCAGAGACTGAGACTGGCTGCCGCTGAAATGCGTTTTTCTGGAGGAGTGGTTTAAAGAAGATGGTGTCCCGTTAAGCGTGCGGAGGGGTGGCAGACTGCGATCTGCACGTGCGGGCTCAGTTTTGAGGCTTACACGAAGCCTGTACTGTTTGGTGTTGCGGGGCTTTCCCCCGTACTCTGGAGCCTGTGAAAGGGTGTGACACAACTTTGGTGTGTCTTATGGCTTTGCTCTGTCTCAGGGACAGGTGATTTGTGCCTGGCCGTGCTCACTGGCTTGGAGTATTGAAAATCTTCACTGGATCCCACTCCTCCATTTCTCTTTCAAAAGAGAAGGCACACAGATCTCGATCTGGTCACCCATTTTATGTCCTGCTGGCACGTTCCCTGCATCTGTCCTTTCCTCTGTGAGTTCTTCTGGGACACCTCTGACAGGCGCAGAGAGATGTCGCTGTCTTGGGGGGCCAAGGATAGGTGTTGGTGATGCAGGTGTACGGGGAAGGGTCGCGGTGCCTTCCTTGGGCAGCAGCACGTGTTCCTGCGCTCGCGGCCTCTCCCTGCCGTCACCACTCCTCTGCCGCCCCTGTAGGACACGTGCCAGTCGGTCACCCGAGCGGGCTCCCTCACAGCCCTTGCAAAGTTCTCTGTAATGGGGCATTGCTCTTCCTCGTTTCTTTTTTGGGGCAAGAGGGACGAGCTCTGCAGGGGCTCTAGGTGGGCATTGTGGCTGGGCAGACCACGCTGAGACCACCGCATCTTCTGGGGAGTGTTTTGTTTGTCAGGGTTTCCCGCTGGGGCAATGCAAAATCTCCTGACCACGCTGAGACCACCACACCTTCTGGGGCATGTTTTGTTTGTCAGGGTTTCCTGCTGCAGCAATGCGAAATCTCCTCATCCTGTAGCTGAGAGTCTCCTGTAGCATTTCTTCTGGGAGGAGAAAGCTCTAGATCCTCCTGACCAGACCAAGTCCTTTTCATCCCCTGATTAACGCTGGGCCTGGGAGGAGAAGCAGCCCAAGATTGCCTAAGAAGGGGCTGATGGGGACAGCTTTAATCTGCCACAGCTGATGGAAATCCAAAGAGACTTGGCCAAATTATATTAAGGCTGGTCTTCCTCCTGCCAACGCCTGAGCCAAGATCTTCAGAATTGCTGCAGCTCTGAAGTTCCCTGTGCTGTCTGATGTAAGAGAAGACCTCAGAGGCCGGGTTGTCCCTGCCCAACATACAGCCTGCCGTTGCCCACAGATAAAAATGTTTTCAGAGTATTTCAGGGTCTCTGTTTTAATGTTTGTTTTGTATCAGCTGGTAAAACTGCCTGTATTTTTGTTTTAGGACAAATGTTTCTGCATGTTTCATCTCTGTAGCTTGTCTGATAGCTGTTGAGTAAGGTTTTCATTTCCTGTGCAGCAAGTTTGACACAATTTTTCACCTGAAACAAAAGCAGCGTAGCACAAAGGCTGAGAAGGCTGTGTAGGCGAGCCACGAGTAAACAGCTTTGTGTTTGAAAGCCACGAGTCTCAAGTCCTGCCTTGCTGAATGTGCTCCTGTGGACTCGCTCGCCGTCATGAGGACAGTCTCCATTCCTTCTCAGATTTCCATAACTTGTTAGGATAACACTCCTAAGCCTGTTTTGCGATGCAGTTTCAGACCAGGCTTGCTTTGGACAGTGCCAGTTGTGCTTTTGCGCACGAGTCTGCCCGTCTTTCTGATGAGAGAGTGCACGGAGCTGTGCTACCCAGCCAACGTCTGCAGCTCTTGCAGTGTTCGGGGCTCTGTCAGGGTTTATTGACCCTGTCTCAAGGACAAGGACTTGCGCCCTTAACCTGCCTCTGGAAAACTGCACTGTGACTGTGGCTCTCTTGTGTGAAGGTGCTTTTGAGTTGCTGAATTGCACCGTCGAAGACGTGCTAGTGGGCTGAACTTGCAGATACTTGTGTGAGCAGTGCTGTTGGCTCTAGCAGAGCTACTTACCCCAGAGAGGGTCTGCAAGGTCCGGTCCCAAACTGTTGCACTGTGGTGTTACCAGGTGGTAGAGTGCCTTAACTAACCAATGCATCAGTTGTGGTGCGTAAGGGTGCCCATGCCAGGCAGGACAGTTCTCTGCACGAGGTCAAGGGTGTCCATGGCTCGTCTAGAAACATGGATGTAACTTCAGACTGCCTTCTCGGTGACATCCAAAACTGGAAATCAATTCTGCATGTGCTCCCTTTCGTGCTAGCGGGAGGTTGTGCCCCCAGCCCCTTCCCTGGGAGAAGGCGGCCATAGCCAGGCCGAGTCCCAGGCTGGTGCCTCCCGCTCGGGGTAGGGGGAGGCAATGGACAATTGGCCATTGAGTTCACCCAAGACTTGGTGCAATTGTGAATGATTTTAGGATGCCCTCTGGTAGCTGAAGAAGAGGCCTTTTGTTGGGGGTGGGGAATCCTCTAGGGAAAATACAGTAACTTTTTTTCCAACTGGCTTTATATAGTACTGCTTGGCTTACTAATACTGGGAGAAGATGCGCTTTGATGGCTAAATACTACAGAAGAGGGTTGATTGTCTTGGAGATATCCTTATATACAGCAACCGGTTGTGGAAGTGTCAAGCAATATTCCTGAAGTTTGTTAAATAAATGTCTTTGAAATAAGATAACTGTAATTCTCTCTTTTTTTTATCTTTAGATATCGGGGTGCAGATTTAAGGAGATGAGTGGGGTTTATGTAATCTCCCAGGCGCCGATTCTGCGTGTTTACCCAGCTGGACCGATGAAGAAACGACTGCTTGGCGCTTTGCCGAGCTCTGACCAAGGAAGCCGAGGCTGCCTAGCTGCTGCGCGCTTCCCTCTCCTTTCCCCTCCAACTTGTCCTCACCAACCCAAGCAGCCAGCACCGCTTTCTTGTCTTGCAAAACAAGAGGGGCAGTCAGCTGTGCTGCTTCGTGGGAATTAGAGATAACCTTGTAGGCTCTTAATGATTTCCTGCTGTTGCATGTGCTCTGTTTACCAGCTAAAGAGCTCTTTCCTGTGTCCTTCACCTCCCTTTTCCCACACCGCACCCTGTGTCTGAAGCATCCTCGCTCTTTTCCCCGGCTTTGCTTATTTTGCCTGCAGAAGCGGTATCTGAGCACAAATGTATTTATACAGTTTTTCCCCAAGCTCACTGTACTAAGAGGTTTGGTTAAATGTCAGGAAAACAGATTTCCAGCTTCATCACTGAATTAGTTTATGTAATCTCGAGTCAGTTAATTAGCACCTGGTGTTCTCTTTCTGGTGGGAGAGGCCATTGGCCTGTCTCAGATGGTTTAATATCTCTTAAAAACAGGATAATGAACATGTCTTGTTAATGAGCTGTTTAGACTTGCTCAGTTACTAACTTTAATTGAAAACTTGTGCACAGACCATTGCTTGTGGCTAAGAATAAGGAAATAATGGTACAGGACATGCTAACTAGGGAGATATCCTGGACTGGTATTTTGATTTTAAGTCTACAGTACCTCCATCAGCGGTGCTTGGAGGGACACCTGGTTTGGGGGTTGAGCTTTGCTTGCTTTTGTCAGCTTGCACAGGTAAAAAGGGCCTGTTTCTGGGTGAAAGAAAGGTCTGCCCTCGGGGGGTGTCCTGGAAGGGGTGTTTGCTGGATTCCTGGGGCCTTTCACCTTCATGTGGATCCAACCCCTCTGCATTGGCACTACCCCCTTCTGAAACAGTTCATTTCAGCTCCCCCGATGCCCAGCGAGGCGTTGCACAATGTAATTACTCACTGCACAACAATACTGCTTCTTGATTCCGGCAGTTTTGCTCGGAACTTCCTCGTTGCTGTGTTAGGAGAGAAAATCCATTCATTGCTTCCCCTTCAATTCAGCCTCAGGTCTTAGACTGCTGGTGTTCGGGCTGCCGGAGCTGCTGCTTGCACCGCTGGCTTGCAGAGCTGCAACTGGCTTCTCAGGGGACCTGGAGTGAAGAGCCAGAGGCTGCCACCAGTGTCCCAGAGCAATCACTACTTGTCTGAAAGATGGTACGCAAGTCCTAAGTACTGATAACAAACGCCTGCTTTACATTGAATACCCAGGAGCAAGTATAGAGAAAGGGAAGTCGGTGAACTCTGAATATGGAGTTTGTGTTCAGGCTGTGTCAGTCATTTCAGGCCACTGACGCTGGAGTCTGCGTGCCTCGCATCCGTTCATCTCCCACTTTTTGCATTGCTCACTGAGATTTACTTCCCTGTTCCTCTGCTTATAAACAAACATGTCAGCGTTCCCGGAGCCAAGCAGCTCTTTTCTTCAATGTTCTTCAGTACAGTTAATCAAGAGAGATCCACAGCAGGGAAGGGTGCTTTTGCCTCGCCTGTGCAGAAGATGGGCGAGGTGAAAACCCATCCTGCTGTGGTGGTGTTTGGCAGCAGCTTTCTACATCCAGGTCACAGCACCGTAACGCCTGGGGCCGCCGGCTTCTGGCACCTGCCTGAGTGGGCTTGCTCTTCCCAAAGAGCCGAGGACTCCGAATGCCATCCGAGGATTTTTATGGAGCCTCAGCTCTTCATATAAACCAAGCCAGTGCCCGATGCCTGAAGCAAACATGTAATACAGAATCTAGGAATGTTGGGGGTTATTTTGGTTACTTTAGGCAAGTCAAATAAAACCAAAATGGCCATGTAAAACAATAACTTATGCTAGAATGCTTTTTAAATATAAAAACGAGCAGCGTTTTATTTTGGGGCATGTGGTTCGCCCCTGTTTCACCAGGACTCCTGTACAAACGGGTATCCCGCTCAGCCTGGGCTCCACCCAACCTTGTGCCATCGGTGCGGGTCCTAACTACGCACTGCAGGGCTGAGCTCTTACACTGGCTTGTGGGAGAGCCGATAATTGCATCAGATCTAATTAATTACATGTTATTGTATCTCTGAATCTATATTTCTTCATTTATGCCAGAAGGCAGCACTTGCATTTAAAACAAACATCTGCTTTGGCTTGACTGATAAATGTTTAGTTTTCAGACAGGGAACATACAAGTTGCTTCACTCTTCTTGGTCTTATTTGTAG